CCCGTGGAGCAGAGCCTTCCTGATTCTTTCTGCCTGCTCCTTTCGTCTCTGCTCCTCAAGTCGAAAGAATTCCTGGTCTGCTTCTTCATCCGTTTCCTCATCACTGGCGTGAATATACAGATCGCTCTTAATCTTCGCTTGTCGAGCTAAAGCATTTTCCAGGCGTGCTCGACGTCGTTCCTCCAAGACTTGTTCATCGGGTTCTTCTTCTTCTTCTTCTCCGGCTTCCTTGCGTCTCTTTTTCTGCTGTTTCTTCAATTGCTCGAGAGCGTTAGCCCTTGATCGTGGGTTGGGTGGGAATAGCGGCCCATCTGGGACGTTGTCATCACCCTCAGAATCGGAGCCAAAATCTACGTCGGCGGTTTGGTCGTCTCTGTCTCGTCTTGTATTGTTTCCTAATTTTCGCCTTATCAACTGGCTCAAGTCCCGGTCAGAGTTCTCTGTGACAGGCTCAGTCAAACACTGTTCAATGATGGATCTCGTGTGCCGAAGATCTTGAGACGTGAGTGATGAAGGAACGATCCAGGAGGCACCAGGGACATCCTCCATGCCTAGACGCTCGAAGCGAACCAAAGTCATGAGGAGACGTAGTTTGGCGTTGGAGAACATGGCCTTCTGGTATGATTCGTTGTGGGGTTTGACAGCTGTCCCATGTTAGTCACGTACGGCCAGCCAGAAGTAATCAGAAGACGTACGAATCATTGGGTTGGGAGCTTTCTGTCCTTCCGATTGCTGTCCCTGACTTTCCCAGGACTCTCTCTCATCGGCTGCCGAATTTAGGACATCACTGACCCATTTGACCAGGTCAGTGTGCTCATCCTTGACCATGACATGCACAACAATCTTTATTTTCTCGTCGGTTGTCTTGGCTTCTCTCGGGTCAACTTCGAGCTCAGCCGGAGGTCTTTTAGATGCGGATATTGTCTGTTTCTCGTGCCCAAACTCCAGGTAGAAAACAGTCGAGTTGATCTTACTGAACAGGAGCTCTGTGATCAAAGCCGGGCGTTGATCTATTTTCTTGATCATGCGCCGAATAATTTGCCGGACCAGTTCCTCCCATTCCTTGAAGATGGGTTTGTTCGAGTCCAAGGCACCCGGACCTTTGATCATGCGATAGAAGAGGTTGATGATATCAAGGCGGAACAGCAGAACGCTCATCTCTTGCTTGAAAGCTATCCTGTAAAAGTAGCGATGGGCTCGTTTCAATTGGTCCACATTCAGCTCTTTATAGTACTTCGTAAATGCGATAAACGTGTCGACACAGTTCTGGTTGCAGAACTTGGCGGCAAAGCGCTTGAAATCGAATTTGCGCTCCTTTGAAATTCTTTCGGCATCCATCAAGTCTTCATCTTCTGAGGCTTGCTCCTCGTCATCGCCTTCGATATCGGCCTGTTTGGCTTGTTTGGCTTTGCGCTTTGCGCGGCGACGGGATCGGATCTGCATATCTACGTTCTCTTTGGAGTAATGCTCCAACATCTTTAAGAAAACATGAGCAAGCTCTGTGCATGCATCCAGGTAGCCGAATCCTTGGTCTTTGTACCCGCGAATGATGGCGATGATGCGGTCATGGGTAGTCTCTTCATAGAAAATTCGATTCTGGATGTTGTCGGCAATCTCTTGATCTTCTTCAAGCGGTGACTGAGCCATCTCTTGTACAGTCAACAGAATCTGCGTGAAACAGCGCATTTCTGCAGTGAGGTCTTCGACGTCTTTATTGTCATAGCTGTACTGCATTGAGCGGTTCAGAAAGACAAATGTTTCCTGGTTGAGGACACTGGCAACAAGTGCAAAGCTATCGGGTTCCATTTCCTTCAACGACTTGTCAACCAAATGTCGTTTTTCGCGGTGATGTGCTCTCCGCACGCGCTCGGCTTCAAGGAACCAGGCAACGGTATAAAAGAATTGTCGTGTATTGATATCCGTGACTCGATCAGCTTCACGTTCAATGGCTTTTCGAACATGAGTGAAGAGCGGATTGAAGCCAGAATCCAAGAACTCTTCGACGAACATTCGTAGGTTCTTTGCCGCGGTCGAGTTGAGATTGACGGGCGTGTTAAAGTCATTGTTTGCCGTCACCTCGGTTTGTCTTCGACGTATCTGAGGCTTGTTCCACTTTTTGCTCTGATCCATCTTGTGAAGGGTTGTCTGGCTATCTTTGAGCACATCTTGTCCCGACACCGTGGAGACCTTGGCGTCATCGCGTTTCACCCAAATCATTGTCCCAAACCTGCCATGCCGAGTTGGTGCGTTCTTTGCGTATTCCCGCCGCAGAGACGATTCCTTCTGCAAAAGTTCACCGAGCTCGTCTGTGCGCTTTGCCTTTCGTTCGGCGTCGTTCATGAAGAGTTTCTCCACGTTGACTCCCTTGACAATGTGGAATAATATCTCGAGGAGGACCACATCTTGAAGGCTGAAATCATCTCCTACATTGGAGCACATGGTCAGAAGAAGAGCGAAAGCATCTTGATTCTGGAAAGCATTAATGGTCGCCGATCTTGACGTTTCCTCTTCCTCCCCCTCCGCCGCCAGTCGAGGATTCGGCGAAATAACCGCGATATTTCGAAGAAAGTAGAGCATGAGCTTCAAGATGCCTTCATCCCGAGTCGTCCGTTCGGATCGAGGGACTGCCATGCTGGGGAGGCCGATTCGGATGACGGTTCGAAGGAGGCTGTCGCTACCATGACTGAGAATACCACGTTTATAAAGAACCTGGGCTTGTTGCAAATACGGCGTGTGTCGATGATGGTTGACTGTCATTTCACTGTGGACCTCCAATGGCCATGTCAGAGGCACCAATAATTCCACTATTCTTTGTCAGATCCCCGGATCATCGAGCTCGTTTCCGTACCCGTTCAGCTCACTTACGGCACGCCAATGCAATCCTCGACATTTGTTTGCTCCTTTGACCACTAGTCGACCAGAGGGTCAAGATCGGCAACAGGTCGCCGTTGATGAGATTTGCTTCCCCCAGACATCGTGCAACATCCATGCGATTGTTTTTTTCATCGTACAATTTCAACCAACGCTTGATATCTCGTAGACAGGCCAGTGCATCGTCACCCAAGACGTAGCGGTCTGCGTTCTCGCCATTGAAACCTCCGAGCTGCAGATATTAGCACAACTTCTTACTTGTGAAGGAGGGTATCGACTCTACTTACTGCAGTAACGAGGCTATAAACATGAGCGCGGACATCAGGATCTACCACTTGGACACTCTCGCTCAACGGCGCACCTTCTTCATCCATAGTCGTCGGTTCAGTTCCGATCGTCCGCCGACGCTGTTGTCTGGCAGACCGATAGCATCACCATAAACACTGATGGTGATGAAAAGCCAACCTTTAATTCGCGCCCATCGCAGCAGCCAATGACAACGCGTTATCCCACGCGTCTCGCGTTTATTAGAATGACCAGCCTCGGCTTATCGGAGAAGGTATTTACCCGACGGCCGAAGATAGCCGATGACGTCGGATCACATGAGTCGGGTGTACATGGGGAAAGACAAGCCAATGTCCCATAGATCTTCGGCTGTTTTCGTTTCTACTTTTCTTTCGTTGTCTGCGTCAATTTCTTTTTTGGTTCTCTTAGGAGGCAATACCATCGTCTCCCGCCATGTTCTCAGCTTCTGTCCGGGGTGTGGCCCGCGTAGGCTCGTCAATTACCTCTCGTTCCTTCAGCACTTCCACCGCCGCCTATGCTGCCGAGGTTAAGTCCCTGGGTGTGATTGGGGCTGGTCAAATGGTGAGCATGCTTTTATACTGTAATTTTTCGTCAGGTCAAATTCTAAATAGTCTGCAGGGTCTGGGTATTGCTCTTGTTGCTGCTTCAAAGGCCCAGGTTCCTGTTACCCTGATCGACAATTCCCAGGCGTCTTTGGACAAGGGTCTCACATTTGCCGGTATGCTCGATACCGTCCAATTGTCCACTACACTCCTGTAATTTCCAGGGATATTCCAATTAACAATCAACCTGTTCCGCCTCAGACAAGCTCCTTCAGAAAGATGTCTCCAAAGAGCGCCTTACTTGGGAGGCTGCCGACGCCGTTCGTGCGCGCATCACTCCCAGTCTGAACATGGACGACCTTTCGTCCGTGGACTTTGTGATCGAGGCCGTTCCTGAGATCCCGGATCTCAAGACCTCCATCTTCTCGAGGCTCGCTCAAATTGCACCAAAGCATGCCATCCTGGCAACCAACACCTCGTCTATCCCGATCACTAAGATCGCTGCTGCCACCACAGCAGATCCGACAGATCTCCAGGCTCCTTCCCGTGTGGTCTCCACTCATTTCATGAACCCCGTTCCTGTTCAAAAGGGTGTTGAGATCATTGCCGGTTTGCAGACGTCCAAGGAGACCGTGGACACCGCCATTGCCTTTGTGCAGCGCATGGGCAAGGTTGCAGCCGTTTCGGCTGATTCGCCTGGTTTCCTCGCTAACCGTATCCTCATGCCGTACATAAACGAGGCTATTATCTGTCTGGAGACTGGAGTTGGTGCCCGCGAGGACATTGACAGCATCATGAAGAATGGGACAAATGTTCCCATGGGACCTTTGACGCTGGCTGACTTTATTGGTCTTGATACCTGCCTGGCTATTATGAATGTCTTGCATCAGGAAACTGGTGACAGCAAGTATAGACCGTCTGGGCTGCTCAAGAGGATGGTTGATGCTGGTTGGCTGGGTAAGAAGAGCGGAAAGGGCTTTTACGACTACTAACCTGGCGACTCGCTGTGATGTTTGAAGTAACATATAACGTGATATCCCTTGCTGTATGCTACCACTTGGCTATATACCATATCTACCGAAGGATGGAATATCCAGCATTGAAATGTCAAAAGCTGAAACAATTAGTTGCATTTGCTTCTTTATAAATGGTCGTCGAGAGTCATCGTCAGCATGGGAATCTAGCAAAATAATGGTTCATAGTACAACAAAGCATATCGCTTCAAAATCAGTATATTAGCCAGTTTCGTGGACGGACGTCTGTGCACTTCGTCATCGACACCTATTCTTCCAGCTCTCTCTCCGCGAATTCCATGGCAGCCACGATGGCAGCAAGCTCATCTGCATCATGTATTCCCAATCCGTCTCCAAGAGGCGCGCCGTTTTGGCATTTTGCGGTTACGTTTCCTAACGCATTGTGATGGCAGATAATCCATGGTCCACCACATGTATAGCTTGGCTGCGTCAGTATCTCGTATTGCCAGCGACGAGGTGAGGGATAGGACTGACCAAAGATCTGCACTACATCTACAAACTATACGCTGGCAGCCCTCATGAAGCTCAACCATTGCCCCACAGCGAAAACATCTCTGCCAGCCTTGAGTTCTCGCGAGTTCGAGAAATTCAGTCAGTCCAGGGTCGAAGGAACATTTGCCAGGTGCATGAGCCTTGTCCCGACACCCCGGGCAGATGGCAGTGCCACAATACGGGCAGAGCTGTGTTGTTGATCGACTTTTCAACTTCTCAAGCGGTATCCATTTCCCGCATCTCATCGCGGGACAATACCGACGTTCCCTGGCCGGTGTCGCATACTCCCGCGTTTTCAGCTTAAAAAGTGCTTTCTCCTTCTCTGTCAGTTTCGAGAGGACTTGCTTGGACGGAATCACCTGCGAGCAGCACTTCGGCGGAAACAACTGCTCATTTGCCATGGCTGTGAGTGCCAATCGGCTGAAACAATAATCGCAATATTTGTGCTGGCAAGGGAGTATCTCCAAATTCTTAACAGATTTGCTGTTAAAGCAGACCGTGCAACGTCTGTGTTTGCAGTTAGCACGTAAGCTACGCAATAGAGCTACTCAAGTGGAACTTGCTCCTTTTTTCGTGGTAATCTTTGGAAAAGGTGCGCCAGGTTGTCAATAACACCAAATCTTGCGAGGACACAAAGGCTCTTAAGCCCTGCAATATGGGCTTGCAAGTGCGAATCAGATTTTCCGGCCGCTGGACGAACATCGATATCGTGACTGGTTGTTGCACGATGAGCGCCTGCGAATTTTGATTTCTTGTCCGAAGCAGCTCCTAATGGAGCTATCATTTTAGCATCACTAGGAAGCCGTCGCTCCTCTTCAGCTCGGCTCTGAATGAGGCCGGAAATCAAAGATGGTAGAGTGATAGAAGGCATGATTAGCTCGGTTGATTTATATCACGTTTCCAGCTATCCTGAAGACGAGGATAATCGGCTGCTGTCAAAGCTGTCGATCGCGATATGTGCCCATGAACTGCTTCGGCTGATCGTAAAAGGTGGCATGGCAATCTGCCTAGAACAGTGGTTGTCGACTCACTGGTCTTATAGCATGATAGTATGACGATGAAGTCTGTAGTATGGTTCTGATAGATATGTGCCTTTCATCATTTCGTCAGTCGGGGCTGAAAAGGGACGAGAATAATTTGGTATGGCCCCTTCCCATGGCACCTTCAACCGAGGGTATATCGCAAGTGCCTGAACGAAGCCATGGTTCCAGTGTCTCTCAACCTGAACCTGCCACATGCGCGCGGCCTGTTTTTTGGGGGATCATCATTTGACATGGAGGTTTTTCACCCAATGAGTACTTGTTCCGACGCCTGGGAGTGTGTCCTGGCGATGCAATGACTGAAACATGGGGAAAGAGAGTATGAAGTGAACCACGGATACCAGCATCTCCAGTGTCGGGTGTAAGAATCACTGACGTGTAAACCTTGATGCTGCCAGTGCGGCGCACAACAATAATACTAATATCATCGCTTGCTGATGACTCGTACGATAACGGGATTCTTGTCAAAATCTTATGATCTCGACGCAGGATAGGAGCCAGCTGCTGATTCTGCGAACAATCAGCGCCATCAATGGGGTCGCAAACAGAACAAAAGCAAAAGCAGTACGGACCTGCTCACAGACAAATCCCTAGCTACGACACGTGCACATTTCCATTCAGTCTTCAAAGTCTCAGAATCATTCAGTTTATTGTCAAGATCAAGGGTATCATTGAAATGCAGCATTTGAAGAACACCCCAACAACGATCATGCAGAATATACAATAGAACCCCACTATACTCCGGTACCGATTGAGAGGGAAGCCCGCAAGTAGCAAAGCTGTGCTCAGAGAATGCCAGAGAATTTCCGTCCCGCCCATGAAGAGCCATACTCCTGATATTCCTGACGGGTGATGGCGAGTTTCCTCAACTCGTCTCTGTTCGTCGCTAATCGTGACGCTCCAAGCCATGTGGAACGTATGGGGCTGAGGTCAAACTGAATGAGAACGTGTTTCGAGGGAAACTGTCAAGGTGAACTTACTCATGAGGGCGCCGGACTCTGACAACGCATTCTGCCGAAGCTATCTGTCGCAGCTCGCTTTCCCTGAGAATGTGTTAGAACCGAAAATGATGATCATCGTAACAGAGCAGTCTTACAGTCGTTTCAAAAAGCCTGGAATCAAGGTATTCCCTCCAACTACCAGAACATTCGCTAGGAACGACGGATGTAGTCCGGTAGGCAGAACTGAAAGACTCTGGAGAATGATGTCTGGAATACCGGCTTGCTTCATACCAATGTCACTTGGGGTGAACAGTATTTCTGGCACCGTAAAGCGTTCGTTTCCCAAAATCAGCACGTCCTCGGACAGAGCCTCAGCATTGCCGCCAGAAAGAATACTCTTCCTCTTCTTCGCATTCGAAAGAGGATCATGCGGTCGCATGAAGCCCTTCTTGCCTGTGTTAGGGTCAGGTAGCACATAATCAACTGTGATCCCTTCAGCTGCGTCTGTCAAGCCACGTTTTCGGCTGCCCTGCCATGTCTGTTCCAAGTCACCAGCAAAGTCATTGCTTACGAAACAGACAACCTCCTTGACCTCGTTCATGATGTAAGTTTCATCGACCATGTTGTACTGCCTCATGGACACCATCTCTTTCAGGTAATTTGTTAGATGTTTGCCACCAATGTCGAGTCTCCGAATGGCGCGCTGGATGGGTTGCCCTTTGTAAACTGGTGTTACTGTTGTATGAGAGTAGCCGGAGTCGACGACAAGTAAGCATTCCTTCGGTGAGATCGGAGACGAAGGCTCTTGTCCAATAGGGTCTCCGAACAAGGACTGAACTTCATTCCAAGCATTCAGCATCGGTCCTGAGAAAACAGCATCAATAACCAGATGTAAGACAGCAGGGGAAGAAATCCGGCTCGCTCACCTACACATCTCACATAGCCACCAAAGCCCCATTCTTCCATAACAATCTCATCAGCATTCTTTTGTAGGGTCGGCAAAGCGTTCGGTGCCTCGGTGAGCACGAGCGTTGTATCTTCTGGAGATTCAATCCGAAGATCTTTCGACCGCACCGTCTTCTCATCGAAGAATGCGTTTTCCCATATTTCCTTCTGTGCTTCCCAGTTGACAATGTACCCTTTCTCCACTGGACGCCTAAACGCCATCTCGTTCCAGTCGGTAACTTGCGAATTGAGCTGTGCACCAATGTAGATACGATTTCCGCGTGTCTTGGCAATGGCATTCGGGATTGTGCTGCAGGCTGAAAGAGCCTGATCTAAATCTTCGGGAGGTGGAAACTCGGGCGCATACCCAGCTTTCATAGTATATGCGCCATTGTCGATAACGAATGTCTTCTCCGGTAACGACTGGACTTTTGGAGCGGAGTCTCGTGCGGAGGTGCGAGGTTTAGTAGCGCCCATCCTGTCAATGAAACATACGGAAAATATGTTTTTTCAATTTATTGGGTTCTGTTGTCCGACATCATCTGAAAAGTTCTTCTCGATAGACTGGTGCTGTGATATAAAAAGAGTCGCGTAGGTGATTGATAACAACAAAGATCGGAGCTCAGGCCGAAGGAGTTTGTCCGATCCAGACGTCACAATTGAGAAAATGTTTGACATGTGCCAAGGCCCGCGCCAACTGGACAGCTTTGATCGCAGGTGACCCCGCAGAGCCCTAATCAGTAGTTGCCCCGCAATCTCCTACAAATTTCTCCTCCATCCAACGATTACCTGCAATAACAACGCCAAGATCGGTATTCGGATCATCAAAACCCCTCAGAATGGCAAAACAGCTTCGGGTCAGTCTAACGACGACTCTCACTCTCCTGGAGCAACTCCAAGCAGCTCTTTCAGCTCCCGCCGGAGATACCAAGCCCGCCGAACTTTCGGGAAAGGATGCCCTTCCCCTCCTTTCCACGTCAGCTACTGCATTGAAATCCCAGGTCACAAAGCTATCCCTTTTGACGATAACTTCTCCATTCACTCACTCGGCCGTCGGCACCGTTCTCTCAGCATTGAATGGTTCCGTGCTCCCGTCTCTCGTAACGGCGGCTCTCCTTGTCACTCCGACGGATCATACAAAGGCTTTCCACGCGGAGGTACACGCTTTGACGAAGACGACATTGAGGGAATTGACTTCTCTGGTAACCGAGGTTCAAGCTGTCGCCGAAAAGACGGACAAGGCAAAGGATGGCCAAAAGAAAGGAGGTGAACTTTCGCAGGCGGAGAAGGATACTGTGACGGTGGCAACTGGGCGTGTCTGGGATTCGTGCGACACGCTGATCGATGTCGCGGCTAAAGGGGTGGTTGGATTCGTGATACGGCGCGTCGAAGAATGGCGGGATCTGGTGCGTGATGCAGTGGAGGAGATTGAGGAGTGGGATCCCGAAGAGGATGGGGACGAATTCTTCGATGATCTCTTGAGCGATGATGGTGAGAAAGATACTCAAGATGAAGAAGAGGGGGATACCGACGAAAGCAGCGCTGCGCTACATGAGCAGAAGAAATCGACCCTCCGGATTTTAAAGCCTATTGCTCAGATATACCCTGCCATTGTCGCGAATCGGCTGAAGGGCGCTGGCGATGTACCGTGCTCGTCTCCTTCTGGGATTAGCAGATTAGAGCGCTTGATGACGGACTTACAGCACATCCCGGAGCATGTAGATGAAGTCGCTGGAGCCTTGTACGAGGAGGATTTGGATAAATGCACTCAATATCTCGGCAAGGTTAAACGCTGCGCCATGAACGCTGTCGACTCTGTTAAACCGACTTGGGATACGGTGGACGCTGCCGACGGTCAGCAGAAGGAAGATAAGTTCACAATATGGTCGAAAACGTGGACGAATGTTTTGGATGAAGTCAGCAAATCTGTGGGGGCGGACAATCAAGAATGAATGAATACTTGAAACGAGAAAGCGGCCATTCATGGGTTACATTTACAGTTGAAGAACCGCCACAATTCAAGACGACCTTTCGCAACTCAAACATCTTATAGCCAGTTGAAAAATCTCCGAATTTATTACAGTTGAGTAAGGGTGAAATGGCGTATATACATGGTAGGAAAAGGATCACCAAGATGGGTAAAGAAGCTGTACACTGTACAATCAGGGCAGTCCGTCGAAAGACCAAGATCCAGTGCGGAGATTCACTAGATGATTTGCAACTCCGGAGTCTTGATTTCCTCACGTCTGGACTTATTCCTCATCGGGTTCCCATTCCGCAAGGTCTTCGGATCGAATACGATCCTTCAGCCAGTCAAGGATCGCATCAGTTCCTTTCGCCACGACTTGCCATCGGGGAACCCGAAAGCTGTTACCTGCTACTTCGAACCTTCTCAGAGGGGATCCGGTGCCCCAATTCTTGCTGCAACCCTCGGCCCTCAGCAAGCCAAGTTTTGGCGGAAGAGAGCTGATGTTG